CCGAAACTCTTAAAGCAACAATGGTATATTGAACAATTTTCTGTTGAGTTATGAGAAAACTGTACAAAAAATTCTAACCATATTAAGAAAAGTGAGGGATGAGTTTGATGGTAATGTGAACTTCATCAAGAAACAATGAACAATTAAAATATATTTTTTGAGCCTTCGTAGATCTATAAAATATGTATTGTACCATGTAATTTAAGAATTATTTTTATGCATTATTAATTTATATATTATATGTGGTTTCTTAAAATTTCCGAATGTGTATTATCTTATAAATTTAGCGAATTATTAATTTAGCACGTTGTTCCCGAGTCGGGACCGGGAAAATTTATTATTTAAGCGAGGTTATTAATTTATCGGGTATTAATTTTTCGAGGTTCTACTGTATATTCACGAATAACCTGTACTTCAGATGTGTATTCACGAAAAACTTATATTTTCCTCAAATGTTACCATAATCGATGTTGATCGACTCCCACATTGTCTCTATTCATTTTTAATAGTCTTAAAATGAAGAATTGTGTCCTAAAATGCGATTATATGGATGCATTGGCCCCACAATAATATATAGAGTGTAACAATACTATATGAATGGCAAACATATACTTTATCAGTGAATAACTTGTACATCACATGTGTATTCATTGTACTTACTTGATGAACAAAGCGTACTATTCATGAATAACCATAATTTTACCAGTTTATACATTGTACTTATTTGATGAACTAAGCGTACTATATGCACGAACAACCCGAATTTTACCAGTATATACATTAAACTTACTTGGTGAATAAAGCGTACTATATTCACGAATAACCCGAACTTTACCGGTTTTTACATTATACCTATTTGATGAACAAAGCGTACTATATTGACGAATAACCCGAACTTTACCAGCTTATACATTATACTTATTTGATGAACAAAGCGTACTATATTGACGAATAACCCGAACTTTACCAGCCAATACATTGTACTTATTTGGTGAACAAAGCGTACTATATTCACGAATAACCCGAACTTTACCAGCTTATACATTGTACTTATTTGGTGAACAAAGCGTACTATATTCACGAATAACCCTAACTTTACCGTACTCTTATGTTCACAAATTAAACAACAGTACATAGGTTTTACATAGCATGTAGACTGCAAATATTACTAGATTCAACACTATCAAACTATGAACTACTCCACCTTCAGAATTGCAATTCTTCACTTCACTTTCTTGATGGACTTGGTTCATCGACGCACTTGTAACTTCATTTTCTTCACGATTTGAGCTGTTGTGGGAAAAAGTTTGCCCAACTTTAAATGGTTCACACCAATGGGAGTAGCCATGGTGTGGGCAACAGAAAATAACCTTCCGGGATTCGAAATAGTTTCTGAAACCATGATTATTGTTTTCTTCCCACAATCAAGACGCTTGCATTTCTTTTTTTTTTGTATTTTAACCCACTCATTTGAGTGGTGCTACTCGAAGAGGCCATGAATGAGAAACAAATGAGTATATGTGTCATTTATGCTCATATTACAACTTGATTACTTCTGAAAATAAGCAACATCTATATTACTTTGTGACGGTCATAAATTGAGTAAGTCATACCATCATATCTCATAGATAATACCATGGGTAAATAAAATCAGTACATTTATACCGACAATGATAAACCATCAACCAACATAAGACATACCATCATATCCCATAGATAATACCATGCGTAAATAAAATCAGTACATTTATACTGAAAATGATAAACCCAACAATAGACATACCATCATATCGTATATCTAATACCATGTGTAAATAAAAATAGTACCATTAGACTGAAAATGATAAACCATCAACCAACAACAGGCATACCATCCTATCTCATATCTAATACCATGTGTAAATAAAATAGTACCATTAGACTGAAAATGATAAACCATCAATGAACAGAGTATATAATGCATAGTACAAAATACAAATAGCAAAAGCATAGTGCAAATTGAAACATAGTACAAAGTTCAAATCAACATAGTACAAATCACATAATAATAAAGTACAAACAATACCAAATTTACCTATCACCCATACTATACGAATAACGATTACGTACTGTAAGTACCATACGTCCATACCATAATTATATTAGCATGATACTATTACGTCTCATATTCTATACTATGTATCACACAATAATTAACAACCATAAAGAAATGCATTTCAGCAGTACAGAAAAGGATGAAGACCTACCAGCCATCGGTGCGAACCCTTTTTCCACGCAAATTAGCTTCATCTTTGCGGATCACGACAATGTCGACCAAACTCATCTTCATTATCAGATGCAATGCAACCATATTCTCCACATCTTCATAACTACCCAATTTCACATACAATCTTTCCCGATGAGTCAAGTATTGGAGGATCAGTGCATCTGGATGGATATGATTCCACTTGTTGATAATAGCACCATATATCTCCATTAAAGTCGAATTACTTTTGATGGAAATAATGTGAAGTTGATCTTTGTACCGACAACTTCCAAGAATCACAGTGGGCACATCATTTGTAGCCATTGTGGGATGGGTGGGTTTTACAGTGATTTTTTCGTCCGAAAACGTGGAAACCAGAGGAGAGAAAGAGAGAAGAAAGAGAGCAGATAGAAAGGAAGAAAGAGAAGAAAGAAAGAGAAGATAAAGAGAGAGAAAATGAAGAGAGAGAAAATGATGAGAGATAAAATGAAGAGAGAGAATATGATAAAATATATTAAATTCACATTAGAGACTGATTTGTATGTCAGACGCGTGAGTATGGACTGATTTGCTTGGGGAAACTACCTAGGGACTGATTTGTGTTTTGTGTTTTGGATTAGGGATTTATTTGTAGTTTCCCCATTAAATTTTATATGAAAATAACTATTTATTAAAAAATAGGGAACAAAATCCAACGTATCTCTCTCCTATCACACGTATTTCTCTCACTCACATCACTGTATCTTTCTCTCTCCTTCTCTCTCTCTATCACGTTACTCTCATCTCTCTCCCAGATCTCTCACACATCTTTTTTCTGTTTAATCCATGTATATCTTTTTCCTCAATATTCATTTGAGACAATAAAAAGAAAAAAAATATAAAAAATGGTCTACACTTATTCCGTATCTTTTTGGATGTTTTTTTTCTGTGTTAATTAATGTTATGTCATTTAGCAAATAGCAAACTGCACAATAATAATTGCAACATTAAAACATCAAAAATAAATTTGTAATTTGCATTAATAATAACACACATTAAAACATCAAAAATAAATTTGTAGTTTGCAATAGTCTTTGGGAAATAATATGGCAGAAGACAATTGCAAATCAAACATTTTCATTTGCAATTTGCAACGTGAATGTAAAACATGAATTCTTTTTTTATAAACAAACATAAGTAGAACTGCAAACTGCAATACGTTGGATAACAAAACGAGGTTAGAACGATATAGTGGAATTGGTTTGTCTTCCTCTAACTGTTGGTGGTATTGAGGCCTCGACTGTAGACTGAGTTGATTTGTTTTCCTCTATCTTTTCGATGATGTTGAACAGTCATTTAGTGATTTTTTTTTCTCTTTTTTTGTCTTGGCTGTTGAAAGATCGAGAAAGGAAAAATAATTCAAACTAAAGAATTATTCCAAATAATGTTATAGCAAATATCAAATAGCAAACAACTTACACAAGTGCATACAAGACCTCCAAAATGCTTTCTGCAAATAAAAACATCATATGTAAGTAAACTACACATGAATCAGCCAAATAAAAATGGTACTTGAAAATAGCAAACATTATATGCAAATGCAAACTAATATTGTAAAATTACAGTTGTATCTCGAAAAAAAAATTGCAAAAAATTAACAATGAAAACTACCACATTGACTAATATATGAGGAATTTTATTTTGCACTTTGCACTCTAATAAGTGAGCAATTTACAAACTGGAATTTGAAAAGTAGAAACTAGAAACTGCAAACTGCAATTCCAATATATATCAAATTTCAAAACAACTAGCAGTGCTTGTTAAACAATATGAACTACAATAATTTGCAGACCATTAACACCAATATGATGTTTTAACTCAAGAAACATAAAATGCAGACCACAAGCATGATTAGAAAAACAAACAGAGGAAGACCCATCGATGCTTTAGTAATGAAGGAAAATTGTACCTGCCATTGATTCCGGTGAAACAAAGAAACTCATAAAAATTGACGATTAAATTATTATAAAAATTTCTAAAAGCATATGGAATGGATGCGAGAATTTTACTTACAAATGCCTTCACGATTTTGCACAATTTTTCTGACTATTGATGTTCTGTGGTGATGCGGGTACGAGATAATGTACAAATCCAACAACAAGACCTAAATACATATCGATTAACACCAAACATCAAACGAAAACTAAACTAACAACAAGCGATTTGAAGCATCTTGCTATGGAAGACAAATTGTAAATTCGTAAACATGGTTAGCCATTTGCAGAGATTTCTGAGAGCATGAGAAATATTTTGAGGAGAGAATTGAGGGATTCACGTATAATTAATTTTGTTAATTTTGGGAGAGAATTGAGGAATTTATGTTTCCTGCCATGTGCACAATTATTTTGGGAATTTATTTATTCCATATATTATTAAGGGTATTTTTGTCAGAATAATTATAATTAATTTATTAAAAATAGAAATTTTGACTTGGATTTATAGACATAAAATCTAATATAGAGGGACCTATAGCAAATTGCCCCTTTTTAAAATGATGTTGAGTCAAACCTTTTGCTATCATTAGTAGGGTCTTTCTAGCGTTCGATCGCTCATTTTTGCCTGAGCTCATGTAGGGTCTCATTAGCCGCCACGTGTCCAAAAATAAATGTTTATTTAAATTATAATTGTGTATTGTCATAAATGCCCTTATGCTACAGAAATAAAATTTAAACAATAAAATTAATAAATTAAATGGAAATGACTTTATTACCCTTATATGACTTCATCTCTTCAACAATTCTCTCCCGCTCTTGTCGTTTCATTTTCTAATCTTGAAGAGAACTTTGACGGCTGGTAATCTCACATATTTCCGGCGAAACCCCCCCACATATTTCCGGCTAAAAAACCGCTGCACTAGGGATGTTGAATTTTGATAAATCCGGTATCTCATTAATTGAATATGTTGTGTGTTTGTCTAAAATTTGCAGTTACAGTTGTGGTATTATTTGAAAAATTAGGGGTTTTATTAAGTTTAATCACATTATTCGATTTAGATTACAACGGCGACGATGAATTAAAGCACAACAGCGGGGATGAATTAGAGCACAACAACGGCGAGAAAGATTCAGCCTCGTCAACTTGGGCAGAAGAACGTGTTTCGACTTCGAACCGAGAAGGGAACAATGGCGACACAGACGATGAAAGTCTGCAACTCGTTCAACGATTTACAGCACTAACATTTGCTGATGCAAACGAAGCAGATGCGCATTATCAATGTTTCGCGCAACTGTCTGGATTTGACATTCGCAAGAACTCTATGAAAAGGATATGCGACATCATTTTGAATAGGGTATGGGTTTGCTCTCGAGAGGGCCACCGTAAGGAAAGAATTGATGAAAGCGATCGATTGCGTGGATGCCCTGCTCTATTTCGTGTTGCTCTCAATCGTTCTACTGGGAGATGCAGAGTGACTGACTTCGAGCCTAAGCACAATCACAGTATGGAAACCCCCAATACCATCCATATTCTTCGTTGCAATAGGTAATTCTATCTTAGGTTGGTTGATTGGAAATATTCGTTTGCCTGAAATTTACACATCAAATTCATTTAAATGTACCCTTGCCTGTTTGTTGGAAAAGTGGGTACATAATATTGACCCCAGCCACAAAGATAATGTTGGATACGATGACCCATGTTGGGTGCAAACCTAGTCAAGTTCTGGACCTTCTGAAACATCTTGGTGGAGGCAGTGCAATTGGCGTATTGAATAGGAAGGACGCGTACAACGACCTGAACAGTGAAAGGTTGAAACGGATTAATTCAGGGGATGTGAATACTTTATTGAGTTTACTTGACGGGATGAAGTTGAAAGACAAAACACTGGAATACAAACACGGTATCGATCAAGGTGGAGCTCTAACAAGAATATTTTGGCACGACGGTATATCAAAAGCCGAGTATGAGGAGTTTGGTGATGTCTTAGTATTTGACAGCACCTACAAGACCAACATATATTGTTTTCCAGTAGTGTTGTTCTCCGGAGTCAACTCCCATCTGTGCACATGTATTTTTGGAGTTGCTATTATGTACAAGGAGACGACTCAACAATACATGTGGTTGCTGCAGACTTTGCTAGAATTCATGGGAGGAAAGCCACCCAAAGCTGTTTTGACAGATCAAGACGGGGCAATGCGCGCAGTCATTAGGATTGTGTTTCCTGAGGCAGCCCATCGGCTTTGTTGCTGGCATATTTCACGTAATGTCGAATCAAACATAAAAAAGCCACAGAATTTTCCAATTTAATGAATATGCCTTGCTCCGTACCCGAATTCGAAGATAGGTGGTCTGCATTGATTGCTAAATTTTGTCTTATAGAAGATCCATACCTAGCTGATCTTTACGAAAAACACAGTCAATGGGCAGAATTATTTTTTCGGGGCCAATTCTTTGCTATGATGAGGAGCACACAACGTGCGAAGTCAATGAATGCCTCACTAAAACATAAAGTGCGTGCGGGTTCCACACTTACAGATTTTTTCAGACAATACCACACAGGCTTTCTGAATAGGATTCGAAAAAGGTTTGACGAACTGCAGAGATAGTCCGAGGTTCACCCAAAACAATCTGGTAAAGGTTTAGTAGGCCGTCTTGAGGGCCATACCGCACGCATCTGCACCAGAGCCATTCTTAAGCTTGTACGAATTTAGTTGAATGATGAGGCAAACATAAAAGATCTGATATTGTAGGCCACTGGCATACATTCAATTTCGAAGACCACAACTTCGACCCGACGGACGAATTGACGTCCGTCGTCGATTTGGATAAGGAATAATTCTTATGCGACTGTAAGATGCTCGAATCTGATGGTATCCCTTGCCGGCATCTCATATGTTGCTTTAAGCATCTGAAACTGAATCAGTTTCCGGTTAAAAACATAATTTCCCGGTGTATTGTCGATGTTGGCAAGCGGCTCACATCTGTTTTCTCGTATCAGCAGACGAACAACCTCTACACCAGTGGGCGTGTTAAGATGATGGAGGATGGGATTGAATTTAATATCACCCCGACTGACGAGGATGATGAATCTTGTTCACAATTACATTCTGACGGTGATGATACAATTCATAGTGTCAAACGTCCCATAAATGTGGTCGATCCTTGTAAAATTGTTTCAAAAGGAGGATCCATACGAAAGAAGCAATTATGCTCGTTTTGCAGGTTAGTTCGATACGTATCTATTTTATATAAATAAATAAATTTGAGAGAAGTATTATTTCTAATAGTTTATTTGAGAATTTTTTAGGAAACCTGGACACAAGACAACCACTTGTGAACTTAATCCAAAAGCTGGTTTTTCGTCTCGTGGTAAAGTTAATTCTAAGCAATCAGCAAGTGGTTCCGACAATGTGGGCAGCAGAAGCTACGTTCCCCAGTTTTCTCCAATGTCATCGGACAGTCTTGCCGACATGAATGTGATGACACATTCAAATATTCCTTACAATATGCACCATCAACGTTCTCAATACCAGGTTTAACAATTTATCTTTATGAAGCATCTATTCAATTATTTCACAAATATGATAATGCTAATTTCTTCTTGTAATATTGAAGGATGGAAGCAGCGATGACAATTCTTTCCAGACCCTAGCGTTTGTGGAAAGTGTTTACACCACGACCACGACCACCAATGTGAATATCCGTGCAATTCAGCAAATTGTGAATTATTTCTAATTTGTAATTGATATTATGTAAATTTGCATATAACAATATTGAAAAACGAGATCTATAACATTTAAAACACAAAAAAAAAATAAAAAAAAATTCACCACAAATGAAAATATGACAACCCACAAAACTTAATTGTCATACGATATTGTTCATGCAGCAACCGTTAACAAACCACTTGGTGTATTTACAACAAAAACAAAACCCGACTACAAACACAAGCATTGATATCATTCGCCCTCTGCACCGTCGCGGGAGGAAGGGGGCAATTTAGTCAGACCACCGACGGAGAGAGATTTAATTTGAGCTTCTAATGCGGCAACTTCACCACGCTTCAACTCCAGTTGCTTATTCAAATATTCATGAATGAAATCTTGCACCATAATGCACCCTCTTTCGCCCGTAGCCGGAGTAGACGAGGTGGCAAGTTTGGTGAGATCGTCCACCTTCGCATTACATTGAAGTAGCTCACGGCCACTGTGATCGCACCTGGTTTGTGGTTGTTGAATTTCCCAGTGAAGTGAACCTTGTATTCATTTATTGGAAAAATAAAATGCACACTGAGAATAATATATCCGTTATTGCTTCTTGATCACTTAAATGTGATATATCTTACTTGTTGCCTATCGTTTTATATTTTGATTCTTGAATTGTTGAAAATAATAATTTATTCGGAATTCTCTTAATGATTCGTATCTTCTTCCTCGAACTATTCAAATAAGTTATCATCTTGATTCGAGATTTATTCCAATAATTTCTCTTCTCGATTCCTTGACTACTCAATTGAGTTCATTTATCGACCTTGAATAATTCAACAAGTTTCAATCTGATTTTCTATCAATTTTGAGTCGTTTCACATCTTGACTTGTATACTAGTTGGAACCACTTGTATTTTGGTTCATTAAATCATTTGGTTTGTTTCTACAGTGGTTCAATGAAAGTAAATCGTTCTTTTCCCGACTCTTGGACCATTTAGGATTATTGTGTTATCCATTAAATCATTCGTTTCGTACCTACGGTGAATTGATGGATCGTTCACATCTTGACTTCTCGATGATCGCTCCGATTTTGTCGGTTTCACATTTGACGACAAGTTTTATTCCACCTTCTATGTTACCGCATGGAGGTCCGACGGGTGTGGCAAGGAATATTCCTTCCTACATCCTTACGTTGTTGTTGACGACGACGAGTTGCTCGAACAAGAAGAGACGAACGTGATCAACCCGAAGTTCGTCATCGTTTTGCCGCGTTCGCATCTTTCGAGAGTGGTAATTAATTAACTAATTAGAATATATCTACATGAGTCTCCCAATACTTACATGATTAATTAGTTAATTAATATATAGTTTGTTTATTTAATAGAAAATTAAAATTATTTGTAGAGCATATGCAAGCACTACGCGGAAGAGGCAGGTTTGATGGGAAGAAACGAG